CACCCATTTGTGTTCCATGATGATCAATAATCAAACTGTGTAAAAAGAAATCCACATTTTCAACTCTTTGTCATTTACCTGAATGCACCAGATGGTACCCAAAGGGCGAATAAAATCCTTGCTCAACCCCGGGTGCATTCATTGATAACAAGAATATGGACAGCAATTCGTTTGTAAATAAAATCATGTTAAGACTCAAGGTCATATGTAGAAATTATTTAGTATGGCTTCTTGCAAACTCCAATTTTTCGCTTGCAATGAGCATCTAAAGATTGTTCAGCAAGGTTTTCAATGAATTGCTGGATTGGTATGCTTGCAATACCAAGATGTACTTGATGAGGAGTTTCATTCGTTAATGCTCTGAGGTGCTATAGGGTGATCATGCGATAAGTTACTGGCTGATAGGGTGAGTATCGATTGCTTAGGTTGTTCAGGTTGTTGATTGGGGCACAAGATTCATCAGCTAGATCGCCTAAAAGATACTCGTTCGGCGTCTCTGTCTTTATGTCCGCGAGTGACTGGCTTTTGATCCAGTACGAGCGCCTTCAGAGTGGCTACTCGTCACCGTCTTGATTGGTCGCGCAGCTGTTTTTCCCCCAAATCACTTCTACTTTGACAGGGAGCTTGCTGTAGAGACTACTGTCCTACGTAACGTAGGCCGAGTTAACTGACCGAGCAGATTATGAACACGTACTATGTATTTAGATTACCTTAAATTGGTGCATATTTTGCCCGTGGGATAACGCCAACATATCTGATGAACATCAGCAGTAAAAAGACGCAGCCAGAGCGGAAAAATGAAGTGCGTATTAGGCCAATAAACGAAAATGACAATTAAACAGTGATACTGATGAGTAAATTAAACAGGCGCCTGATGCGCGAACCAAAATCAATTGGAGCGGGTTATAGGTATTGCTTAGTTTAAGGGTGTGTATTGTGCGTTCTATGGGTCGATCCGGCGGAATAGAGATTGCTGTGAAGTCACCTTTGGGGATGAAATGAAGTCACGTTGATTGTCCGAATGTGAGCTTTTCCCGTGCGGCTTCGGGGTGCCCTTTTCCAGAGGTCGTCCCTGGGCTAAATGGGGTAGAAATAACATCCTAATGGATTGTGTTCAACACAAAGCTTGTAAGCTACCGTGGGAAAATTAGAAGGACAAACATCTTCATACGCTGCAATGTGTCTTTGCTGTTTTAGTAGAGCTTCTCAGTGTGGAACGCCTCAGGCGAATGGTGACAAATGCCTGCAATTGGTGCTATCTAGCTACGCTTTTAAAGTACCAACCATAGAAACAGACATCGTTTAAAACCTAGCGCAGCAATACCAGACACAAAAAGCCTTAAATAGATGGCTTAATGGAACGGCTCTTTAAACTAAAGTAAAGCACACTACACATTCTGGGGCAGTAGTTACTTGTGCTTATAAATTGTGGGGACATGCGATTCATGTACAAGCCAGCATTCTAATTGGTTAATTATAACAAGCCAGGAAGCGTGAGCGTTTGAGTGTGGACCACGTAACTCGGTCCAGCCAATCATTTGCTTGAGTTTGGCCTGCATATTAATGCGTACCACATAACATCTCCATCGATCATTCATTCATTCATTCATTCATTCAGCTGTAGCACCCTTTCGGTGCCTAGCTGCCATGCCACCAGAAGGAAGCACGAAGGCTGGGAGGATACTGCCAGGTCGCCCATGTCTAGACAGGGGAAGTCGAGTGGCAGAGGTCGGGTTCGAACCACGAACCTTTCGGTCAGTAAATTCGCGCTCTAACCACTTGGAGTCAGTCAGTCAGTCAGTCAGTCAGTCAGTCAGTCAGTCAGTCAGTCAGTCAGTCAGTCAGTCAGTCAGTCAGTCAGTCAGTCAGTCAGTCAGTCAGTCAGTCAGTCAGTCAGTCAGTCAGTCAGTCAGTCAGTCAGTCAGTCAGTCAGTCAGTCAGTCAGTCAGTCAGTCAGTCAGTCAGTCAGTCAGTCAGTCAGTCAGTCAGTCAGTCAGTCAGTCAGTCGGTCAGTCAGTCAGTCAGTCAGCCTGTGTGATCTCCTGCCTATCGTTTTCCCTCTTGAGGCTTCAGTCATTCATTCCATCTTCTCAGATGCAAACATTTGACCAATCTTCAGTTATTCCAGTTGCTAAGGTTTGTTCACCATTGGTGTGAAGGCCCCTTCAGGCGATCATTCCTCCAGCTCGTGGACCTTGTATATCTGTCTTCAGACAGCGGAAAAGATGAGGAGTACACAGCTAAGGCGATAGCTTTGATGCAGGGTCAATGAAAGCATGCCTCTTAGGCTAACCAACTATTTATTTGTCTCACCTAGGGTCCACATTTGAGAGGGCGTCATTCCCTGATGCTGCTTAGTTATCCGTTGACGGCCTCTGCGCTTGGTTGCCAAGTCATGGGCTGACCGCCCTTGAGTTAGAGCACGAACATGTTGACAAAAGGTCAACATGTATATCTGAGACTCGATTTCTGCACCCAAGTGCTTGCTAACACGATTCAGCATCATAGCTCGGGTATGCTTAGGTTATATAGCGGTTAAAATCGGTTATTTGACGGTTTCTTAACAGTGTAGCTCTCACCCAGTCATCATGAAATATTGTTGCCCCACTCATTCATATAACTATTTATCATATAAAGTGTTAGCATAGAACAAAAATTCATTGTTTCAATTGACTATTAGAAACCCGTCCTGACATTTTCTCCTATCCGCGTCAGTGTTTCAGCAAATATCCTTAGCCACCAAGCCCACTTTCTGGATTACCACAGACCCACGTTACTTCCGTCTCCGCGCATTTGCCAATTTCTATCGGGAGGAATGCTAAGTCATGACTGCTGGTATACAAATGACCAGCGTAGTCTTTCAAACGTGGTTGCTTATTTCTAGATGGTCATTTAACCGCACTTTGATGTGTGCTAGAGAGACAGCCTTGGAACAACCACCCAGTTCGATGAACGCACGTGACTTTCATCGTGCAACACCGGTGTTTGATTCACCAGAACACAGTACGAAAATATTTTCAGATGACTAGTGTTCCAAGTGAGGCGAAAAATGAAGATAATACTTTTCAGCCTATTTCGGAGGACACTTTCCGAGACTGGACGGTTTCGTGCAGTACACTTCTGAACTGGAATTCTTCCACATGATGTGCAGTACTTGGACTGCTTCAAGTCTCCAGTATGAAGATATCCGACAATTCCCCTGGAGTTTTATGTACGTAAGATGAAATGAGTTTCAAAAACCCGGTGGTGCCCACAGACCTCTTTTGTCACGTTTAGGCTATACATTGCTGATGAATCTCAATATGGTACGAATTACGGGGGAAATAGTGGGTTTCTGACTTCAACAAATTGACATGAATATAAGCCGCAAACTCAATTAACAGTCAAGCCTCTGCTGATCTGATACATAGATTCCCCCAGATTCCGGGAACAAAGTCCTAATCATCAATCCAACTCTTGGAAGAACACGTAGTTAGTTATCTTTTTATACCTACATGTATTTTAATATATCTATGTTGTGTCCCAGCCAATGGACCAAAAAACCTGGGCCGGTTAAAGTGTATTGCTCCTTTGGGGTCATTTTGCTAAATTTGAGCAAGCCAAGAAGAATGTTCGCTTCTTCATCGCTTGTAAAAATGTTTTTCACTTTAAAGACTCATCGGTCACCAAAGTTTTATCCTTCTTAATCCACTGCATTTGCTTTGTTTGAGATATCTTTTAAGGAAAAGAACCGTGTAAAGGTTACTAACTGTATGCCCTAATTCCCCTCTTGTTCTACTTACCACTAGCCTCCTTTACAATGTTCCCAGCATCACTCAGACTGCGGAACGGACCTTTCGATTCGCCGTTTGGCAAAGGATGTGGTATTTGCGTGACTGGCTGCAAAACCAAGGGTTGAGCCATAATTGGGAAAGCGGCTTGTTGCATTGCAGGGACTGTGGCCGAGGGTAGAGGGGATGCGCTTGATGGAATCAGGCGAAACAGCGTCGGCACCGAGGAGGACTGTTGGATTGGTGGGTTCAAATTATGGCCCGTAGGTGTTGGCGAAGCTGTTCTTTGTGTCGGCAGGATTTGCTGCGTTGTTGCAGTGGGAGAGGAAGTTCCTGAATAGGGCCTTACAAGTAGTAGCGGAAAGCTCGTAGCAGCATTCACTGATACCGGAATGCCAACTCCCTGCGTGCAAACAGGATTTCCTTGTTGATCTAAAAACATGGAAGTTGGATAACTTGGCCTAGGAACTATGTTGCACCATTCATTCAGAAATGGCTTCAAGTTTTAGTGACGAAGTACCACTCAAAAGATTTTTGAGAAATCTACGGTAGCATACAATGTCGTCGTTCTTTAGTCTCGTTGGATTGGGGTAGACTTTGACTTTCCGTCAACCTTGTGGTCCAATTAAACCCTACTTTATTGTTTATTGTGCGTAGTGACCGGGCTCAGAATATGGGATTTACCATAGTAGCAGACGAACTGATTTATTTAACTACATTTTAAAAGACGCCGCGTTTTCCCTCAACTGGCGGCGAAATATGAGTTTTCTACAGATAAATTTGGATATTCCTCCTTGAAAAACCCTATCCAATTAAAGAATTTGTTTGTAAAGGTCCCTGCAATCTGGTTTAAAATTGAAATTTTCAAGAGATTAGCCCCAAAATACGAACAGCGTCCATCCAACCTACCCCGGAGATATGTGCTCTCCTCGAAGTTAAACGAAGAAGCTTAGCTCCGACAAAGGGGCACCACCACTCTTATTGTGTACTTGCGTGCGCTTGACTGATTAGATGAGAGTTAACTTCATTTTTGAAGAGGCTGATGGCTTTAAGCATGATGTTTTACATACCTGGGCTGATTATATTCCATGTTTTCAGGTGAAAAGACGTTAATGGGACAGGCGTATGTAGGTGGGTCCCAGATGCCAATAAAGTCTTTAAGGGACTAACTGATCCTTGGAAAAAATTAGCTGAATCCGTCTCGAAAACAGGTGAGCTTAGTGGTAACCCAGGGCTGTATCAGACATTTATAAACCTGACGGTCAGTCGGACGAGTACTGTGGGTCTTCTGAAAACATGAAGCAACCCTTCAAATAACGTAGTGATTGATCAAAACTCATTGACAAAGAATAGGTGTATGATGCGATTTCCAGGAATTAGGTATCACATATATCGGCGTACGAGACCCCCGTCGTACTTTTCATTACTCATCTCGATGCCCCGTGTTTCCTATCAGGTTGTTCACTGCTGGTTCGAATATTGTCTGTCACAGTTGTCCACACACACAAAGTCCAGGTTGACCTAGCCTGGACTTAACGTAAAACTATCTGCGTTGCACTTTTGCAATATCCGACAGACTGTCAATAAACGACAGACCAGACCTAAAACATAAATGTGCTGGTTGTTGATTCATGAGAGGATATTCCTCCTTCTGAATCCTAAACAAACTTTCACCCGTCTGTAATTCAACTCACCAAATGATCTCGTTAGAATGAAACAGGATCGCTCACAATATTATAGCCTTCGGGCTCATGAATCACTCTTGTTGTCTTAGTGGTAGGTTGGGAAGAAGCTGTCACAACCAAGCTGTGCGATGGGTTCATGTGAATGAAATCGAATATCTCAATGGTAGTACAGAAACGTCACCTTGAGCGCATATGAGTTTGCACCATTTGTGTGAACACATAGCTACTTGAAGGTGAAGTCTAGGATGTGGGTGGTCTTTGCCCAAGCTGGCACGTGCTTGTTGGAATACAAAAGCAGCTTCGTGGTTACTAATGAGTGATTGCCTCTTAAATATTTTATTTTTATAACCAAATCCCTCGGCCGACACCCAACAGAGATTTAGCTTGACTTAGCTGATTGGTTCTCCTTCCGCCTTAAATATCGACCAACCTTGGAACCTAGTCACTTGTCGTGACGAAGCTTTTGTGTCAAAAACGAAACATCGCCCAGCAATAAATCTACCGATTGTCACCAAACTTTTTCGAAAACAAAATGCAAACCAGTCATCGTTTTGTCCATAGGCGATGACCCTGATTAGTCAGTAGCCCAGGAGGACCACTGTACTCGAGTTCCGTTGCTATTACTGGTAAAGTCCCTGTCTTAGTTCAAACCGGTCGTCTCAAGTGTCTTACCAACACATCACATTTGTGTTCGGTTGGTGTAAACCCGAGGATCCAAGCATAACAAAGGCATAATTAACTTCAGGAAATCAATAAGTAGTGAATTGTCATGCATGTCACCACATAGATTTAGACGGATAGCTGACAAATAAATTACCGGCCGACTAAGTGTGACACTTCCAGGGAGTACAGCAAACTCAGCACAATACAGTTACTGAAAAGACAATGAAAATGGACATTTTCACGACTAATGAGGGCACACCTGACCTCACATGCGAACTGAATTCTCTGACGTAAAATATCAAGTTTTGCATAGCACTGGAATCTGCAGAGACAGTCTCCCAAAATGAATTTAAGCAGCAGAGGTTCGATAAGCTCTAAACCTATAGCAAACAGTGCGGAAATATTCCGAATGTTTCACGACGAGTAACGAACAAGGTTATTCCACGTTACCCCACATGGTGAAGTGGAATTAGTAACAACACATTCCTCATATAAAAATCACACTATAGGTAGTTTGCTCAGAAGGGAAACCATCCGGAAATTTACACAAGGCTTTCGTCAGAAAAATCCTCCTCAAAGAGCTAGTCAACGCTTGTTCATGCGTACTCACTTTGACCAAAGGGTGTGTATGCCTATATCTTGCCTAAGATTGAGGTGGAAGCTACCACTATGTAGATTTGGCAGATTCCAAATGACATCCCAGAGATTCTCGAGGTCACTAGGTCGCATGGTACTGTCAGATGGTGGTCTTCTCTTGTGAGGCACATTTGTCACCTGATCTTTATTCTTCTTGCGGCATAATTAACAAAACAAGCATTCATCTTCTTAATCCAGTCACCCAACCTCGTTCTTCAACTATGTTGGATTCATCAAGAAAACTACTAATAAGTTTTCTGAAAAAGCTTCGACAGTCCACAACCGGTTTCGCTCTTTCACTTTGGGCACATAAAGTAGGCTTAGTTTCCGAATTCTTGTCAAACGTATGTTTTCATTGAACACAAACCGGACTGGCTTGAGGTCGAGAAAATAGCGTTATATAATTGTAGACAGGAGCTTTTCGTATACTGGCTACCGGTCTAGTGGTAGAAGCAATCTGGGTGCGAAATACAATCTCGATTCAATCTCTAAAATCCCTCTGGAATCACCCTCGATTGTGAGGCATTATAGTGGCTAACTTTTTTAAAAAGGATACACGATAGCAAATAACTAACTGCTGAAATAGTTGATTTACTTACAGGCTATCCCAATGGTTGACACTTGATATTCTGCTGGCACTGGTTGTCCGAGCTGAAGAACATAGGTCAAATCAGTTAGTGACAGAGAGAAAGAAGCTACTGAATTAGACCCAATTAAAGAAAGCCTCTCCTAACCTGACATTTAGGCTGAGGGTATGGACAAAAATGTTTCTTCAATGTCGTGATTCGCATCACGTGACGCAAGCACCCTGTAGTAAATAGTGCCAGAGTGGTTAACAAAGTGTATTGGTGCGGATGTGCAAAAATCTGGCCAGCATACAAGTCGAACTTCAGGTTTCCCAAGTTTGACCTACTGTATTCCGGTCGTACTTAGTAAAAATGTTGTCCATCGGCGTCTCGAAGAAAGTCTTGATGAAGGTAAGATAAAAATGGGAAAGCCAAAACTGCTGTTCGTTTCCAGGGCGACATTCTCTTCTCGAAATCTTACGCTGAAATGCATATTTCAAGGGCAAAACTAAGCGGCAACTTCTGAGCCACGTACTAATTCGTCGAAGTTGTTGTTGGAATTAACTCTAAAAGGGACCAATCAAATGAACCCTTTCGAGTGTAGCGGCTGTTCCCCAGCACTTTTTCAAAATGGGGAAGATGAGTACTAAATACATGCAATGTCAACAGAAATCCGTGAGTAAGCGACTTACGTTGAAGCCATGTTGGCAGGGTTAGTGTACACTATGGTAATGCCAGCTATCCTGAGCCTTCTAATCCAATAACGGTGTCGCATAGTGACCTGTACATTGTTCGACACTTTGTGAAATCTTATCACTGTTCCACATGGCCAACTGGACCTAGGTTCTGATAATATTCCAGGCGGCCAACCGTGCTACAAAGTCCAGGGTAAGGGATAAATACCTAGCTCTAGGATAACGTTCTTTGACTGCCGTAAGATACGCTTGTCACCTTCCGCAGAGACCACCTCCAGGATAGGCTACTTTGAAAAAGATATCAATTTTGTTTAAAGCTCTTGGGACCCCAAATCAGTTTTTGAAATCAGCCCTCTTTACTTGAAACACAACTTACGTTTATGTGTCCATTTCACACGCCAGCCTTCTCAAGAAGGTCTAAGCAATGGTCCGCCATGCCCTTCATAAGCATGAACAGGTATGAAATTTTCGTCAACTTCATTGGTTTTATACGACAGGTCTCTAAATGTTGTGTTGCAAAATAGTCAAGCTGTTTGATAAATGGCAATGGTATCTTTTTACAGGACATTTTTTAAGCTCTTAGAATGTTTAACCAAGCGCACCAATACTCACATTTTACAAACCATATGTATGCGCTGCTTGAGACATTTAAACTGAGGCTTGATCCTGAGGCTTGAAGCAACCAACCAAAGGTTCACGTGATCTTAGTAAGAACAGAGGTCTTTTATTGACTTCAATGAAATCCATCGGCTCTCGGCCAAAAATTCCTCCTAGATTGCTAACTCTGGCTTCGTAGTTACGTGTACCTGAACGGAATGATAGCTGGGATAAAAGCTCAAGTGTCTGACCAAACTCCTATTTAATTTGGCGGGGAATCATACTGCGTAAATTCAATCCACAAACCGTGCAAGACTGACTGGCACTGCAGAAGGCTAAGGAACTTGACCCTCCAAAAAGTGCGACTAACAAGTGTGGCATCCAAGATAAACAGCTTTGACAGCTTTGTTTGCTTTTATTAGTCAGTTTGTCAGTCAGAAAATCATCGATACTTTCAGTACTGTCTGATCAGAAAACTACTATATAACCATATCGTAAATGCACACCTGTGCGGCGATGGACGTTGAACTCTAAGGATTCAGCGAGATGACTAAGATTACCGGACAGGACGACCTCATAGCTCTTGAGATCGCAAAGGTTGAATCCATCGGTGTGCTGTTTGAGCGCTTTATCGCAACTCCAAGGTCCGACCGCTGATCTCTGACCTTCTTCGACTGGAATAGCCATTTAGGTGTTAGTTACCTACAAACCGTGTCCTCATATAAAGACCACTGTCCATTGATTCCTGGGGGTGAGTTATAATCCTCTGAGCCGACGACATATGGCAACAGCTATAATCGAAATGGCAAAACATCCTCTGAGCCGACGACATATGGCAACAGTAAATGACTGTTTAATTAGTAAGGTACCCAAGTAAGTGAGTAACCAAAACAGTTCATTTCTCCAGACTTAATTGTTTTAAATGAGGTTGGAGAGCAGATACAAGGAGAAAACGAACGTTTACCTGTGGTTTTGGGGTGAATTTTCCGAGGAAGGGTTTTCCGTTAGACATTAACTGACAAAACCTACCTAAACGAGGTCTCCAACCGTAGGATAACATCCAAGATAATAGCACCATTCACTGAATTTTTGAGTCCGATATGAATACCTCAATGGAAATCAGACGAAGCTGGAGAGGCTATTCAGCCTGTCTAGTGTTACCGGACATTGAAACCAAGGTCTCTACTTACAGTGGCACATCCTTGGAATGTATCAACACAAGCTGAGTGATCAACAGTCAGATTGATGCCGCACAGTGCAACGTGCCTTATATGATTGACAGACTCTACATGGTTATGCATACATGCAAAGATCCGTGTTTGTTTTGATGAAGTGAGCACGCTTGGTGACCACATCCTATATTTTCAGGAATAGGAAATACCTCCCGTTTTGTCTACGGAAGTGGTTCCTCACCAAGAGTGGTCGCCATGTGCCACCATTTCGTTTTGTCAAACTTCCTGTTTTTCGGGCTGATTTGGTCGGGTCCGCAACTAAACTGGTACGCTGGTTGTTTAATTTGTTTGCATTGCAGCTTTTCGAATTTGGGCTAAACAATATGTTATCAATCCAAATAAAACATTCACAAAATAACAACTTACCACCGTAAATATGCTTGTCACCCAACTCCTGCAGAGAGTAGAAAAAGAGTAGAAAAAATTATTTACAAATAGTCGCTGCTGCTTCCACGAGGAGAACTACCAGCTGAGCTGTCCATTGGTAGTTGCCCATTAGCGGTTGGAAACAAACATTTGGTGAGTTTTCGTATTCCATCTTATTACCAAGTGGTGTCAGATAGGACTGTCTTCTTTCACCTTTCTTCTCCAACTTCGTCATTTGTACGATTACAGGAGACTCACTATCAGCCTATAGTGCCTGTGGAGTAGAAGTACTCCCGGGGCGTCCGCTCACAGATATCGAGTGTGCAGACGACCCCGTGGTAAAGAAAACAATATTAAATAATCTAAATAGTTCCGCCCCACAGTTTTGCATGGCTTCACACCTACAAGTATAAAGTAGTACTGCAAGACCAAGTGGTCTCGAGCACCGGCCTCTCGTTTGCGGATGAACCGATTGAGGTAGTAGACAAATTTGTTTGCCTGGGCAGCTGTATCAGTCCCGGTGGTCCGGCGAAAGATGATATTTCCATCCGGATTGGAAAGGCCAGAGCAGCTTCTGTGAACCAGCGTCACCTGTGGCAAAGGCGTTACATCGGCTTTTCCGTCAATGGTCGAGTTAACGGTGCTGCGGTGCGCTTCATATTACTACACGCATTAGAAACCTGGCCTCTGCGTGCTGAGGACGTCAAAAGTCCTTCAGTGTTTGGCCATCGATGTCTTCTGAGCATTACCCGGGTCTGGTGGGAGTACCGGATTAGCACTGCTGAAGTACGTCGAATGGTATTTGGAAGAAATAACTCACTCCTGATAGATGAACTGATCACACTGCATCGGTTGCGCTGGCCTGGCCACATGCTCCGTACGCCAGTCGACCGAATTCCCCGAAGGGCTCTTTTCGCACAACCAAGTGAAGGGTGGAAGAGAGCCAGAGGCGGTCAAACAATGACTTGGCAGCGAAGTATGAAAGCCATTACCATAAAACGCAGCTGCGCTGGTCACTACCGTCTTCCTGGATGGGGAACCCGAAACGGGCCATATCAATGGTTCGAGACATTGTCAGACATGGCCGAGTCGCGCCCTCAATGGAGCTCGTGCATCCAAGCCATTGCCTTCAATGGCTCCCTTCTCAATTCCCCCACTTAGCAGTCCACTGACAGTCCTGTATTTACGTATCCCACCGCTCCAAATCATCGGTGAACGAAACTGTGGCAGCTACAACCACTGTACGACAAGTACGCGGTTATTACAGCTGACAATTATGACAATGATTATGAATATTGGCACCCGTCGGTGACGGGCTGAGAAATGATCGCATGTTTTTTTCGTTATGAGGTACCACCTAGAGTGTTCATGAATTGCTGTAGGCAGTTTTAGACCCATAATTTTAATACACTTTTATTGAACATCTGACGAAATGAAGATGGAGATAAAGAACTTTGAAGTTAAGGGAGCGGGACCAACATTCAACATCCACAGACGGCACACTACCGTCTTCGTCCTGTTTGAGGCTAATCAGTTATGCGCAGTCCACACGGGCTGAGTAAATCTATCCTTGAGTGGAACGGCAACTTGGTCGAATATTTACTTCTAAGTTATGTGGAACACTGAATGAGTCCTACCTGATCAACGGCACATTAATATACTTTCCCATTATCTGCACCACACTGGCAGCTTCGAAATTTCGGTGCAAAGATGTTCGATGGAGCTTACTTCCCTTTGAACTGAGGGGTATTAGACAATGGTTCGAAATCCATAGACAGCCCACGGTCTGTTTAAGATTAGTCAGGCTGGCGTAGTCCCCACTTATGTACCTATGTAAAGGTGGAACCAACTCTCTTTTTGAAGATTTGTATGCTCTTTCACCTGTGATCGGATTAAGGGAGGCGCTGTTTTCATACACAATAAGTGACAAGCTAGAAACTACTCTTCGACGTGGAACAAGTGGGATACGAACCACTCACGATATTTTTCTTTGAGACAGACGTTGGCCAAAATGCTGGTATTCAACACTTATTTGAACGGTTTGTAGTGTGATAGACGAATTTGTAGCACACAATTTCGACACAACCGTCCCCAGAACCTAGCCAATCGTGGCAATAGGATTCCCCGAAACCTCCTTGTGATGTTCGTGTATTTAGATTGATCACTTTGAGCCTTCTGCTTAATTCAACTTTCGTTGACCACGGATAAAGGAAGTGAATCCCCAAGACAAACGAGGTATTAGGGTTTGTTCCGTGAGCACATTCAATGAAGTTCCTAACCGGTAGTAGCCCCCATGCCTTAGCATTTGTGGAAGGCCATTTATTCACTCGCCGCATGCCCAATCCTCAAACATTCTTTATATTTAAATATTTAACTTGCAGCCGTTGTGTAATGTCAATGAAGTTTGCCGCTTGAGAGGTCCTGTCATCCATATGGGATCAACACAGCCATATAACCATCGAAAATAACAAGTGATAGGCCAACAGTTTTCGACTATCAGCAACTGGGCAATAAAATAAAATACCACGAGACACCAATGGGGCAAATGGGCAACAAACTTAAGAGAAAAATTGAGCTCGACCTGATTGAAGAGTCTGTGTGCATGGACGCATTCTACATAGGAATTAAGACCAAGTTGAGCCAAGAGTGTAGTTTGAAGAGTTTTCCGATCAAACGTCGGATTATGGGAAAAATCTAAGTTAGCGCTGGTTAACTCCCTGTGTCAGCATCTTGGACGTTGTCTGGTTATGAAGTCTCTTGATAAGGTGGCATCTTTATTCTCCGTTGGAAGTGAGAGGCGAAGATCAGCGGCCCTTTCTGGACACATTACAACAACTAAGCTTCTTTTTATCGCGATTCTCTCATTCGTAAATAATGGCTATCGAATTTAACCTTGGTCCACTCACGATTCCGAATGAATCGTATATATATATATATATATATATATATATATATATATATGTGTA